ACTAGGTATCTGAGATATTATTTTAGCATTTTTAAGGTTAGTCAAGATATTATAACGTCATATACGACGTCACAGGACCGCATTTTCCTTTTAGAATTAGTGTATTCAACTGATATCTCAATCATTTGAATAAGAAAATTCCATTAACATTAACTCAACATTGGAAGTGTTTCTTCTTCACTTTACAAACCTGTTTAGTGATGAAGTTGGCAAATTTGACTTTTTTATGTGGAAAAAGGCCAAATTGGTAACTTTCATTAACCCTTTAGTGACGGCAGGCGAGTATCGAAAAAAACCGCATTCACCAAGTCCTCTTCTTTGGACTGGTTTTCGGCCGATTAGCATGGCTAAAAGAATGGCTAAAATGAATTTTGCAACAAAAAAAGGCATATTTTCCTACTAATCGCGTGATAAAACAGCTTTTTTTCACACATGCGCACAAGCCAAGCAGATTTGGACTTTTTACTGATTTGCGAATTTATTTCGATCTTTCTCTCTCTCTCTCTTTTTTTTTCTTTTTCTTTCTTCTTCATTACCAGTTTTTTTTGGCAATTATATCGTCTTCTTTGCATAGAATTGTGGCTGGCCAACTCTTTAGGAAAGGGAAAAATTTAGTCTTCAAAGAGTAGTAGGTAAACGGCGAAATTGGCAGTGGATTTTTCCTCAAAATGTTTACATTTTTGTGAGTGTAACGTCGTTAGGATTAGTCAGAATATCAAAAACGAAGTATCAGTGGAAATCTTTGCTGACGTTGTTGCTTACCGACTTATTAACTTAAAATGAAAGCTAAATGGGTCCTGGAAGGAAAATACCCATCGTTCCATATGGAACGATAACGACGAAAGCAGTCGTCGAAGGTTTAAGGCCATCTATATCATAATGCTAGAAGCACATTTGTAGAGCTATTGTATCGTCGTTTTCTACGTCAAGTAAAACATACCTCTACCAAGAAGCAATAAGGCACAAATGAGAGCAGATAACGTGCTCAAGAGGGAGGGGGGAGGGCAGTCAAGGGAAGTCTTGGTAGAGCCGTGCCGCCGAGGCCTTCAAACCTCGACTCTGTCTAAGACATGGCTCATTTCGCTACCCTGTTTAAGATTCTGCCTCTGATTTTTTTGTTTTACATAAAGAGTCAAATAGTTTTTCAAACTAACATCACGAAAATGGATATTTAGGAAAAACATTTTTGGTATTGCAAATGTAAACTGCTCATCGTAAGTCTTCATAGTCTTTTTAACGCTTCCATCTCAAAAAGGCACCCTGTTCAAGACGCTTAATAGTAAAATTCTATATCCTGTTTAATACTCAAGACCTTGTGTCTAGCAGCACATAACTGTATTGGCCAAATAAAGGAGTGCCGCCTTCCCCCTCGAAACCTGCTCCACTCTTCAGTCTAGGGCTTGTTTTAGAACAAAAGCACTATGATCTCATAACTAACATCAATCGCATAACACCATTCTTCACTGTTGACACTCGCGTTTGGAAAATCTAACATAAACATAGATTCGCATGTACTGCATTTGCTGCTCAAACATCATAAGCTGAAGAAAGGATCCTACGAATGACTTGCAACTACTCTACTCAACGTGCCAACAAGGGTAGCATTAAGGCTTGATATTATTGCCCTTGTTAAGTCGAAAAGATGACTCGCATGGCGGCAGATTCTCCAGTTTGACCTTCCGGCCCTAAGCTTGGGGTGGATCTGATGGCAAGCACATCCACGGTATGCCACCTCTTTCCGTACAGTTCACAAACGGGTGCTTCCGTATCTTGAATTTAAAGTTCTCCTCGGACTGATAATGGCCACTCTTCCCGCGATAATGGCCATACCTCAGACGTACCCTCCATTGCTTGGAGTAGCTGGACTGCCTTCCACTTCCCTTTACCAAAGAAGGCAGAGATGTTATCAAGGCCCGTGATCGAGTTTACACCGATAAGTGCTCCTCGTGAAGCAGTGGTTAACATTACCTGGGTCAAGTTGCACAGATTTAGGAAAGTTCGCGCCTCTTCCCTCTGTTCCCTTTTTCAAGTAGCACCCTTTCAAAGTCAAGTTTTTGCTATGAGCAAGCAGTAGGACAAGTCTTTTGACATTTTTTATCAACATCTCCAGCTACACGACAAACGCTACGTCTACGCGCCTGCTGCACGAAGATAGTTACTCTAAGCGACCACATGGAACGGAGCTCCAGAGAAGATCTACAACTTCTGCAAGACGTTCTCTGCTTGCCCAAACTGTCCCAGAAGTGCCATCCAAGCACAAGAGTAGATCCTTGTTGCGAACCTTATGCACAGCCTTCACCTTGGCTTTCTTCGCTGGATTAAAGTGAGTGGGGATTGGATGAGTAACGGCTCATTACAAAGTCATTCGCTGGCTGCTTTGTCTTGCAGTCAGTCATCACTTACTTCTGTGTGGACAAGCTTAGCGAGTTCCAAGTCTCTCTCGCTGGTGAACTTAGTTAGGCCATTACATTGATATTTTATGAGATGTGCGGAGAATTCA